GAAGATCGAGAAGCTCGGAGGAGCTGATCCCAGCCGATCTTTCGTTGGATTCGAACTTGCGCCATGCACTCGCAGCTGGAAAGGTGAAACCATGAGAATTAATTTGCGATTGATCTTGTTAACCTTGGCTTGTTCCTTGAACTTTCGTCGCTTGAACCCGCGAATATTCTCGAGGTAAAGAGATTATCGTCGAAACGACGAGTTGCGCTCGTCTTCCCGGTTACGCAGGTTAATTTGTAACGAGTTACAAAAGAGATAGAAAGGAGAAGTTTAAAAAAACGATGGTTTGCTTTCTCGACCGGCAGTCGAACGAGGACGAAAAGGTGGTAGCAGAGGAGGATTCTTCGTCGGGGAAGAAGTCGGCTTCGGTGGCGTTACTGAGACAGAGTGACGAGGAGCTGGCACCACTGGCAACAGAGTACGGGGAAGCTTTCGGCGGCTTGAACGGAGATCCTGGGATGGAGCTGGCTAGGTTCAAGAGAATCAAGCGAGTCCTTCGGTCATCCACCTCGAAGATCTAAGGTGTTAGATTAAGAAACGACGTGAAATTCTATGAGGAAGAAGTCGGTGGCGTTATTGAGACAGAGTGACGAGGAGCTGGCACCACTGGCAACAGAGTACGGGGAAGCTTTCGGCGGCTTGAACGGAGATCCTGGGATGGAGCTGGCTAGGTTCAAGAGAATCAAGCGAGTCCTTCGGTCATCCACCTCGAAGACCTAAGGTGTTAGATTAAGAAACGACGTGAAATTCTATGTCAGTTATTTCTCTACAATCTCCAATTGAGATTGCCGTCTACTAAACAGTATCAGATGCTAACAACATACTAAACAATATCGCAAGCGATATCAGTAAGCGACAGATTACTAGATTAATTAGCTATAGACTCGTAGCTCGCACGTGTGTATGTACGTAAAATACAGTTAAATGTTTGGTATTTAAAAGGAGAAATTTAATAAGAGGAGCAAGTATTAATCTTTTTTTTTTTTTTTTTTTTTTTTTTGGTGTCTTCGAAACAAAAGTTCTTTCTGAAAGCTTTTCTCGAACACTTTTTAATCCCAGCAATGAGCAAACTACTCGTTCCATTTGCATCTTCCATCTTTCTTATTACGTTCTTTTTTCTTTTGTTTAAGCTTTAGAAACTTCACCTGAGGTTCATTACAGAGATCTTTCTTATCTTCGTCGATCCAAGTAAGTAGAGCGAGTCGATGTTGCTCAGACTTTCGTAGAAAAAACGAAGAAAAAGGATACCTTAAGATACGCGACCAGGTGTCTATACAATAAAAAAAATCGAAATCTTTGAATTAAATTTATTATTTGAAAGAGAGAAAGAGAGAGAGATGTATTTACCTGGATGATCCGTACGGTTCGATGATGGCGCCACTAGAGGAAAAGAGAGAGATAGAGAGAGAGGTTTTCCTAGGCAAAATACAGAGACAGCCATTCGTAAGACGTTCAAGATTTAATAACAAAGATACGATTAAACACGAAGAAGACACATAGATCGTTAACCTTCTTTTTGTGCGCTTACATTACGGGGGGAGACTTTGACTTTTGAAACTCTCGGCAAGCGAGTGCCGACGTCTCCGACCAATTGTACCATCCATCTCTCCGTTCTACTTTACAACAATATGAAACAATTATTTACACATCGACGGGCAGAAAGGACCACGGTGTCGTGTGAGAAATGTTTGAATGTGTTCTTTTTTTTTTTTATTTTTCTGGTTTCATTCTGTTTTTTTTTTTTT